GTTCATTTCATGTTGATATCTTCAATTCTCTAATTTTGGTGAATATTTTTATCATTTTTGGTAAAAAGTGATATTTTCGACTTCTTGTTAAAAACCGCAAGTGCAATTGCTTTGATACTACATATATAGGTACTACATGTGGACCTCTCTCAGATTTGTTCATTTCGTGATGATATCTTCAATTCTCTAATTTTGGTGAATATTTTTGTAATTTTTGGTAAAAAGTGATATTTTCGACTTCTTGTTAAAAATCAATAGTTCAATTGCTTTGATATTACATATATAGATACTACATGTAGACCTTTCTCAGATTTGTTCATTTTGTGATGATATCTTCAGTTCTCTAATTTTGGTGAATATTTTTGCCATTTTTGGTAAAAAGTGATATTTTCGACTTCTTGTTGAAAACTGTAAGTCCGATTGCTTTGATATTACATATATAGGTACTACATGTGGAACTCTCTCAGATTTGTTCATTTTGTGATGATATCTTCAATTCTCTAATTAATTTATTTTGGTGAATATTTTTGTAATTTTTGGTAAAAAGTGATATTTTCGACTTCTTGTTAAAAACTGTAAGTCCGATTGCTTTGATACTATTCATATTGTTCATTTTCAATGATGTCTTCAGTTCTTTAATTGAAATGTGCATTGCTAACAGCGGAGCTATCTCAGCTGAGAAGCTGCTTGTTTCATTATGTGATGTAGCTTCTGTTCAATATTAAAATTAGCTGCAGATTGCTTGATAAATAGGTTTAGAGACCTTTATTTGTAACGGGCAAGGTTTTATGATACCTGTGTACAGGTAAAGGTTGAGTCAAATGTTTTATTACTGAATACAAGTGTAGAAATAATACAAATGACTGAATACTTGATAATTTGTTGTATACTAGGTGGCTAAATTTCACAGAATGTCACGTGACTTCCTGTTGCACTAATCCTTTTACTGCTGTGGAATTTTGACATTTTTTATATTACACAAATGTTGTGAAATTGTAGCCTCTAACAAAATTAAATTGATTAATATTAATATTGTTTGTCTTGATGAAGAATATATTGGTTTTGCCTGCTACTGTCTATATTGTAAATTGACAATGAGGTAAAAAATGTTTCCATGATGTAAATAAATGTTAGGCATATCGGTGGTTGTTAGAATTGTTCAGGCCTGATTGATGTACTATAAATCACTGTAATTTTGATATAGACAAACTATTACAAGTAGTGTACTTTGTAACAGTGAAAATATGTTACTGTAAACTGTTTAATTTTCGCTTAAGGAAATTTCTCAATTTAATGGGTGGCATTCATGAGAATAACATTTTGTAAAAATCTCTGACTCATTGAATTTGTTTCACAAAATTAAAGCAGTATACAGTATTATTGTTTAGTTGCTATAGAGATTCTTGCAAATATCTTTTTATTTTTATTTTTTCAGAAAATTTTAGCTCCTTACACAGATATTCACTATCATCATACTTTCCAAATTCCGGATGCCCATATAAGGTAAGATTGGTTTCTGTTTATATCGTGGCTGCCTGTTGTAAAAATATTTCATTACATTTTTTTGACATTTATAATGTGGTTTTATGCCTTAAACCAAGATATATGGTGTATGAATTATAGTGTTGAACAGAATTTTTTGTATGCCAAATATATCATTGTTTTCTTTAGTAAAAAAATCTCTTTTTACACAGATTAAATCTCTTTTTTTAAAAAAATCTCTTTTTTTGGGGGTAACCCATCATAAGTAGTTATAAGATGTGTATTTGCCACAAATTATTGGTAAAGATGTTATACTTTTAAAAAAGATTCTTATGAAAATTGTTCCAAAAATATGTATTTTTGCATATTTTCAGACAGCTTTTCTCAAAAAATATTCTGTACTGCCAAAATTCTGTAAAAGTTATGTCCAAATCAATTTGATAAATTTAAGGCCAATATTTATTTATTGAGTAATTTTCTTGCCAACTAGCATAATAATTTTTGTATGACATTGATGCTGTATTTAAGAAAAAATCACACATTTTCATTTGTTTCCTTGGATAGTGATGATAGACATGCACGCTGTTTAGCAAGTCGTATGGCGATAGTAACGATGTTTAGATCATGGCCAGGTATGTATATAATTTGACGCAGTAACTTACTGAAAAGGTTTAAAGGCTGCGGCCATAGCGCAGCATGTGTTGGAATTTCATGATATCAAACATTGTATTTCACATGCACTGTGTTTATCACTATGAGTCCTATATCGAACAGAACACAGAGTGACGACCACTGCCCTTTAAAAGGTCACTTATCACATGCACTGTGTTTATCACTATGAGTCCTATATCGAACAGAACACAGAGTGACGACCACTGCCCTTTAAAAGGTCACTTATCTCATGATTAGGGGTATCTTCAAAATAAGTTATATTTTAATAATAATCCACCATAAAATCAGTGCAATTGTTGGTATATGTGCATTTCTATTGGAAATATGCTTTTAATAGAGCATACATGTATATATTAATTGTTTTCTAATGCAGTGACTGAGTCACCAGATTGACTGAAATGTGAGCAGTGAATGAATAAATGTGTTTCTAATTAATTTGCCTTCTAGTGGGAACAATTTAATTTACCTCGTTTCACCACCCTCTAGTTGCAATCAAATAAACAGTTTAGTTATGCCTCCCTTTGAAAGTAATAAAATAAATGTGTTTGTAGTTGTATACTGTAATCTAGTAAATAACTTATATACTGCCCTCTAGCAGTAGTCTAGTAAACTAATTTCTAGTTGTATACTGCCCTCTAGCAGTAGTCTAGTAAACTAATTTCTAGTTGTATACTGCCCTCTACTAGTAGTATAGTAAACTAATTTCTAGTTGTATACTGCCCTCTAGCAATAGTCTAGTAAACTAATTTATAGTTGTATACTGCCCTCTAGCAATAGTCTAGTAAACTAATTTCTACTTGTATACTGCCCTCTAGCAGTAGTCTTGTAAACTAATTTCTAGTTGTATACTGCCCTCTACTAGTAGTATAGTAAACTAATTTCTAATTGTATACTGCCCTCTAGCACTAGTCTAGTCAATTAATTTCTAGTTGTATACTGCCCTCTAGCAGTAGTCTAGAAAACCAATTTCTTGTTAGATACTGCCTTCTAGCAGTAAGGTTATAAGTGTCTTCTCTGAAACTGCTGTTGGTGTTGCATAATCTTACAATTTATATTACAGGAATGATACGTCTTTGTAGACCTGATGCCAGTGGTTTGTGTTCATTTCTTGGTGTTTTATCAGTTCCTAATGAGGATTTGAGGGTAAGAATTACTTGACTGTGCTGCATATTATTTGTAGTATATTACTCATCTATGTGTGAAATTGAAAAGCAACTATAATAAATTACCCATACATGATTATGCATTGTTTGCCCATATGCACTTTGATTTACTGGGTAATTTATATACCGGTACCATAGTTTATTAAATCAGTTGTGTGTCCAAGTATCATATAAATAGTTTTTAGTTCAATATATTACAGTTTTCATGTCATGTTAGATGTTTATCACACACCGCACAGTAATTTTGGCTCTTTAAGAAACTGAAAAACAGCTTCAATTTCGTGCCAAATTTTCATGAATTTTGCAAGTCTGTGTAAATCACAAGATAATGCAGCAGTAAACATTTCACTAGGGTCATTAAAACATGAGGTCATAGTGACTTTTGTGAAAATATGGCCATGTGAATGATCTTGAATGACCTGAAACGAGTAATTCATGGTCCAGTAAATATATTAAGTGCTAAAAAAACTTCATCTATTTCAAGTTGCACTCTGAGATGATATTGTAAAAGCATTTAATAATCTCTTATCAACTATTATCAAATTGCTTACACATAGGTAATTTTGTATCTTGTAGCATGTGCATGAATTCTTATGTTTCACATCACCCAAATTAATTTGGTTTGTTAACATGTATCACATCACTGTTCACCTTCTGTTTCTAACTCAATCTCATTCACTTTACAGAAAGGTGTCATGGACGTCCTTTATGAAATATTTAGTCTTCCAATTCCTGAATGGACGGATAATTTTAATATAGCCTTACTGAGTTCAGGTAATTATAATAATTTATTATCACTATCACTGTGTCCAGTATGCACCATCGTAGGTGACATGTCTCACAGTGATCTAACATAAATAAGTATTTCCAACTTGAACTTAAGCGTGCCTTATTTTCTGTGTTGCACTTGCTTATTTATTCACCCACCAACAGTGCACTAAGCAGCCACTTACAGATGAGGTAAAAACAAACAAACAATAGAAATAATAACATGATAAATATAACTAGATTAAGTAAAATAAACCAGGCACAGAAGTTCATAAACTATTGAATAGAGTTACTAAAATTTTCCTAAATTTCTACACTGATTAAACATTAAATCATTAAAAAGTCTAGCTAAATGATTCATGAAGCCCTCCTTTGAATCCTCCACTCTACGTAAAGGAACATGGGAGATATCCTTCCTCCTGGTATTAAGCCTATTAACTTTCAGGTTAAATAATGACATACATACAGCACAGTTTTTTCAAGAATAACATATCAAATATCTGTCTTCGTGAATACAAGGTCTTTTAATCAGTATAGTTGACAGAGGGCGGTACAAATCCAATCACACCAAGAGCCTTGCTTTTTATGAAAACTGTGTTTAACATGAATGAATTGTAGAAACAGTTTTTGTAATGCTTGCATTAAAGAAATGGGATTGTTTTGTACTCCAAGATGGGATGCACCAGTCTCACTACCCTAACATCTGTATTAGAAGCCGCATCCCTAATAGAAGTCCCACCCATTCTTTTTGAATAATTGAGAACCAAAAATTCATCATTTCTCATATGTGTAGATGCTCTAATAGAAGCCGAATCCCCTCTGTAGCATTGTACCATTTCAATAGAAGCCGCGGCTTCTAATACAGATTTTACAGTAACAGACAAATAAGTACAGACACTTTACTGAAAATAATGTTTGATAAGTGATTAGACTTACTAATAATATATTGTTTGGTAAAGGAGAGTTTGAAATCAAGTATCTCATCTAGATAATTTTTTGATTGGTAGATCCTTCTCAAGAGCATGTATCATGGAAGTTGTCAGCTGGGTTTGTGGTCGAGGAAGCAAAGCGGGTGTTGCCACATCGGGCAATGACGCGAAGTAATCTAGTGGAGAATCACATAGCATTGATATTACAAGCTTTCATCGGTGCTGGATTATTAGAGGTATTAGTTTATATTGTATTTGTATGTGAGTATCTTTAATTTGCTTATTATAATATCTTTGTAAGCAAACATTGATTGTTTTGATTGTCTCGACAGAGTCTAGTAGAAGTCATCACAACAGGAGAGCAGCACTTATCAATAAGAGCAACAATATTATTAGGAGAGTTATTACACATGGTAAGGGGCATCATGTTAAACATGTCATTCACAATCATTTGACGACAAACTCAACCAGTTCTGTATAATGCTTTATGTTCTTTATATATTCATTCTGAAGTTATATACTCTATTTCATTGCAACTAATGCAGCTATAAGTACAATATTTCATTTGTGTTTACTCTCAAAACTACAGCTGTAATACATCATTAGCTTGTTTAAATAGCTTGTCCTATTACCTCTAATGTTGCTGTTCTGATTTCTAGGCGAATACACTATTACCATATGAATGTGGTCACCATTCTCATTGTTTACCAACTCTGATGACAATAGCAGCTTCATTTGACGTCCCACCTATAGAACGAGTGTAAGTTTATTTGATGTTCATTACAGTAGTTTCCTGTTATGAATTGAACCACGAAAAAATGTATATATAAATCAATATACGTATTATTCAATGATTTAATTTTGAATTGAATAAACAAAATTTGATATATGGAAAATATTATATATGGAAAATATTATACAAGTTTATTTTCTGAAAGTTGACAAAAGTTGTTGTTATGCACAAAACATGTAAAAAAATAAAGTAAAACTGAAATTGACAATTTGACATGAGTGTCAGTGAGAACACTGATGACATCATCTACTCATGTTTCAAATGCTAGAAGAGAAAAAAATATGATAATCTGAAACAGCAGAATTTAAGAGTGCTTAGAATCGAGCCTCATCTAGTCACAGATTGTTTTAGGTGCTGCGTTTAACAATTCTAACATTCCTAAATTCATTTATTTTCAGTCGAGCCAGTATAGCTGTCAATCGATTAAACCGATTCCATGAAATGAAGAAGAGGGGTCCAGTGCCGTCAAGTTTATTTTTAGATCAGATCATGAAATATACAAGGGAGCATAAAATTGACACGCAATTAACTGAAAGACTCAGTCATGAAAAACTAATTAAAGCTATTTACAAGGTGAGTGTCGCCAACATTGATGCCATAATAAATAGTAAATAAATAAATGCTGTGCAGACCAATATATAGTAGAAAATATTTGGTGATCTTTCTTTTAAGTAATATTTAAAATTTTGTTGTCTTAAGCAAATTTACTTAGGACATAGATTACCAAATATTATGTATCATAGATCAATAATGTCTCATTGGGTCAATCCTAATCTGATTTCAAACTCATATAGGCTGGTTATAATCTGGCCTACATGTGACTACATGTACCTACTTATACAAATTATGTCTTGTAGGAACAGCAACAAATCAAAAAATGTATTACCATTGCCTGTGGGCTCTAGTTGGTTGTCAAATTTTGTCGAGCAAAGCTGCGAAATGTGGTTTGCATAATAGGTGACCAGCGTTGTGAGATTGAAAGCAACCAGAACCTCTATCTATATCAGGTTTTAGTAAGACTGGGTTTATTCATGGCCTGCACTGATAGTTGATAAATCTAAACTATATGAATGTGTACGCATGATTGCTACTACTATTGCAGAGTACTGTTCATTATGATTGATACCAAGATCAGGGTATGCAACTTTGATATCTGTGTAGGATGATTTGATTTGCAACAAATCTCATGATCCCACAAGTTCTGTGTACACTTAAAGCAAATGTAATTTGATGAAGGACATCACAGAATAGCAGAGGATGCACATGTACATGTGAGAGATACAGTCTAAAATACTACTCAGCTTCAGCTTCTTTGATCAAGTATACGTAAACCTTTTTTCACACAGGACTATGATGATCCAGTTGGGCAGGCAATTAGAGACTCTATGGTGATTTCAACTTCACAACATCAGGCTTGGAACTGGAATATTATTACAGCTTTACTCAAGGTATCATATACAAATATCCCTGCATAATAGTTGAGATGTTTTATACACACATTCTGGGTTATTTCATCCTATTGTCATGTACAAGTGATCTTAGTATTTTGATGAGCTGTGAAGTAATGTGTTGAAGTACCTAATTCACTATAATTGCATCTTCCATTTCTAACCACGACTTGAGTTCAGAAGATGCCCATTTCTCATTATTTAGTTGGAATCAAGTTCTAAATATGGCAGAGAACTTCCTGTTGTATAATGGAAAATTATTATCATACTGTTAATTTTTTGAAATTTTTGATAATTTTCCATGACATTTTGAACTTTTGAAAAATATTTTTTTTTTGATATGTATATCTTGATGGCATACTAATGAAAAAATAATGGAAATGGCATATTATAGGAATAGTATATATAGAAATAGTATCTATATTTTTCAAAGGTCACAAAACCAAATTTGTTGTCACTGAACAAGTGTTTCTCGTCACAGGTTTATGGAACATTTCACAGGTGATGAGAGAAACTATTTTAAATTAACTTTTTGTGTGGGATTGGTTGATCTAGCTTCTGTAATTGTTGTTGAGTTCACATTCTCAATCTGTTGGTCTTTGCCTTTGTTCACAGTGGCCAAGTACCTCACTAAGAAGACTAGATGATACTGTGAATCTCAGGTAATTTATTTCCATGATGTTTCTTCCCAATAAATGGATATAATTTCCTAATTGATTCAGGTCTTGATCGAAATTGATCAAAAAGTATGAAAATAATGTTTTATTTTACCCTATGTGTATACCTTGTACCATATTAGCTCAATTAGCGGCGCATGCACTAATATGTAAATTACAGAAGTATTTCTATGGTCAAAATAAGTAATATTTTATTGATTCAGTATACAACAAATGTGACTTTGGGTTTACATGTGCTTCTAATAGAGCATATATGATGTGAGTATATTTTATTTATCTGAAGGGGTGAACACTTAGTTAAACATGGCCCTGAAACTGAAATTCCCCCAAAATAGGGGGGGGGGGGGCTCTATGTTGAACGAGTATGGTATACCGACCAATAGGGTGTTTGTTGTTATACTTACCTGTACAGAATATGAGCATTTTCTTGTAGTGTATTGGCTTACTTGTGTGTGTTGTCAGTGTTAAACTTCTGTATGGAGAGCACAGTTATAAATCTTCTATTAACAACAAAATTTGATTCCCTTTGTTCATATTTGTATATTATTATCAATAATCTTCATCTTTATTTTCTTTGTTTGGGCAGATTTATCAGGAGATTAATCCAATTCTTCAAACCCAGCAGTTGTCTGTATGACAACATTGAGTTGTCTGTGTTGGATTCTGACAAGTACTCAGTGGCTGGTATACAACTCGTAGATTTCCTACTGACATGTGAAGAGGTAAGCATGGCAAGCATTCATTGTGTGAACTTATAATTACACTGAGCGGTATACATGTATGACAAGTATATTTTATCTCATTACGTCTGTTTTAAATTACCAGGAAGGAGAGAAAATCTTGAGTGAGCTGATGCAAGAGATAGTAGATTGTTTAGCCGACACATTGAAGAGGACACCACAATCAGCAGACGCCATTTTTGGCTCTCACAAAGTTACACATAATCTGAGTCAACATTATTTTTTATTTATTGGTAAATTAACTACTACTTTATCAGGAGAAAAGATTTTGGAGAAGACTGGATTATTTCAACAGTAAGTTAATATGAGGTGTAATTCATAAAATAATAACAATTAATTTTTATAAATATTAATCAGTCATTGGTTTGAAATAGGTCTTTATAATAACCTTACCTTAGGAAGACCATTTTATTTTAAGATTATATAGTGATTCAGGGTAGTTTAGGGTTCCATATAATAAAATGACGTTGGTGTTAAGTTTGAGGTTCATTGTTAAAAGAATATTTATTTACCAGTGTCATTCAAACTGTTGATGTATATTAAACTCTGCTTATGTGTTGTATTATTATTAATTTTCTTATTATTAGGAATAGTCATTGCCATATTTGTGGTAATCATCTTGATTTATTTGACGCTTTTTTATTGATTTATTAATTAATTACCATAATCCATGTATGAGTGATATTATGGGATGTATTATTCCCGAAATATGTGTAGATAATAGACCATGACCCCATAAGATTCTACAAATTAGTGCTATCAGGTGATGACATTTTTATCACGTAATCATGTCCCAAAACACTATAATTTTCTGGAGCAGTATTTATGAAGCTTATGCTTATTTGTGCTAATTACACATGTGTCAATGATCACACATATGATTTGATTGATTTGAATTGAAGTAATAGCATCACGCGTCACTATGAAATTATTGTTACCTAGTCTAAAATTCCTATAATGCTGCAATACAAACAGTAACATCTCATAATTGTTTTTTATTCACAGTTAAAACAATAATATTCAATGTGAATAAAGTGACATTGACAACCCTTGTCAAATTTTGATGGATTTTGTTATGCCGAATTTGGCATTGACGCTTCTTGTCTTTATTTGCAGTTTACTTGATCTCTGTTCGTCGCAGTCTCATGAATACCTCATCAAATTAGTTATCACCAGTTTAGACTATACTAGGGACAGTCTGTCAAGAATCATACTATCCAAAGTGCTGTCATCAGCACCAGAGGTGAGAAACTTACAATGTTTAAATTAATGATTATCATTTGCCATCTATCTCGCCTAAGTTTACATTGTCTTTGAGAATATTGTATACCAAATTTCAAAGTACAGTTACTGTTTGATTGTCTAATAAGTAAAGTATGTCAGTGTGATTCCTAAGTTTTCTGAATGTTGACTCATCACGTGTTCATGATTTGTATGATTATATTATCCCCAACTACTGTTTTCCCCATAGAGACCATGGATGGGACAATATTTGTTCAACTAAAATTAAACCTTACATTATATCTCTACATGTATTTGTTAATTCTGCATATGTGTGAAATGGCAGTATATGTAGAGATATTCAGAAAATATCCATCGCTTTTTGATAATAATTTGAAATGGTTTGAAATGACCATGTATTCAGTTTTCGATGTTTGCTCAAACACAGTGGCAACAGAGTAAAAATCATCTGTAGGCTGAGGGATATACATTAATTTTTTTCAGAATGTAAGACAGTATGCCACCAGTCATCTTAGAGTGTTACTACGAGCCCAGGCTCCCTTCTTCACTAACTGGGGAATGGAATTGCTTGTGACACAACTGTATGATAAGAACCGTGCCATTGCTATAGAAGCCATTGACATCTTAGATGAGGCCTGTGAGGTGGAGGCTAATTTACATGCTTTAGTTCAGATGCGACCGTCGTTACTTCATATGGGGGACAAAGGAGTTTTGCTTCTTATAAGGTACAAATCACCTCTTAAATGTAGTTTTTATAGTGATATTTAAGATGTGACCAAATAAAGTTATTTTTCTGAATCAAATAGAACTTAAATCGTGAATTGCCTGAATTGTATGCGATATTCAAATTGTTATTTCAAATCATACTTGAGATCGAAAAAAAGCAAATGATGAATATTAACGTCTATCAATATAATGTCATATTCCTTAAATAAAAAATATTTGGCCCAACAAGTTCTCTGTTTTCAGTCTTGTTTTCATGATATCTGTACTTCCTCTGTAGGTTCCTCTCCATTCCAAAGGGTTTTAAGTGCCTTTCTGATGTAAACTTTGTCACTCATGAACTTGAGAAGTGGAAGAAGACATTCAACAAAAAGTATGTAATTATAGTCGAAGCTGAGCTCAACGAATCATTTACATCATATCAGAGACCACCGAGTGATGGTCAGGTGATGAGGCGTTCATCAGAACCCAAACAGAGGCAACGGGATGTCTTTGTACCTGTACATTTGTATGGTCAATTGGTGCAACACAAAGCAGGTTCTGATCTATTGGACAAGCAGGTAATGAAAACTACTGGTGTTTTATTACTTTAATAAAAAAATACTGATAATTTTGTGTGCATTAATAATGTTTGTGGACTAGGTTCTGAAACTTTCTGACTTGATAATTCTCAAATCATTCATGTTTTTGAATTTTGAAGTTTGTGAAGCCAAAAATAAAGTAATACATATGAGTTCATTTTAGGAATAGCTACATTTTCCAATGTCTTCATCATGAACTATATAAATGCAAATACCCAAAACATTTCTCAACCATGTTTTTGTTTGGTTTCCACTAATTTTTCAGCATTGCAATTGGATTTATAATTCTTCATAACTCCATTTCATAAGTCATTTGTCTTCTTCTATCATGGATGAGTGAACAATGTGAATATTTTCAATTTAAAACAACAGGATGCTGTACCTGAATTAAGTCGATCTGTGAGGTACCCTGAGCTAGATCAAGAAGGCATCTTGAATCTCAAGGCAGCTATATGGGGATTGGTAAGTAGGAGATACAAAGCTGCATTTTTTGATTACCACACTAGCACAGTGGTGTTGACTTTTCTCAACCACAAACAATATTACAAGTAGAGACAGTAATTGTTTGGCTCCAATCTCTGTGCATTGACATTATATTAACAAGGGTTCATGTGCATTGACATTATGTTACCAAGGGTTCATGTGCATTGACATTAAATTAAC